TTCACGGCCTGCCTGTTCTCTGTCCCCAGCTGTCATGATTCGCGAGTGGCTTGTCTGACAAAGATCTCACGGCCTCTCTGTGCTGACGACGTACTAAAAGGCAGAGCTTACAGCTCACAGTGCTCCACTGGCAACCAGTTCTGGCTAAGGCCGAAAGATAGACAGGACAGCGCAGCTGTTTTGCTTTCCAAAGTTACTGACCGACTGTGATTGAACTACTGTTCAGAAGCGTGTCAAAAAGACAGCATTTGAATAAATAGGTTAGGATTTGGCCACCAGAGATTGTAGGCGTGCTAGGAAAAATCCAAAGTCAAGAATAGGCTAAAATGCTTGCACCCTCAAGATCCAGGAGTCCAGAAGATAGGAGCCAAATCAAGATTTGATTCCTTCCTCTGGAGAAGGACAGTTATCATAAGTGAACTCTCAGCATTGAGTAGGTACTGAAACTGTGAGTTTGTGCACACACAGATGCACTGTTGAAGCCTCCATCTTTGAGATGGAAAGGGTAAGCTGAGGGCTTGCTCAGCTGTGAGCTGCTTGCCTGGCAGCTTGCTCAGCTGAGAGGAGGCCGCAGCTGGAGTTGTCATGGCTTAAGGCTCTGGCTGCTCATGGATAGACTTAATTGATGAGAAAGAGACAAAGTGCAGAGGCCCAGGTGAAGTGGGACTGCAAATGGACTGGCAAGGGAAGGTTTGGGCTGCAAAAAAACCCCTTCCCTCAGGACTTCATCATCTTGGCCATGGCTTGGGATCCTTGTATAAGGGTCAGGCCATGGCTATGGCTAGCGTTACATTTATGAGAGACAGACCCTAGTGGTATATATGGAGTGCAGCTGCAAAGGTAGTGTCAAAGGAAAGCTTAGCCACAAAGAAATTTCCCTGAACAATTTTTTAATTTTTATTATTATTTTATTATGATTACTATTATTTATTTGAGGTCTTCTTAGGGTAAGGCTCAGCACATGGCTTGGGTTAAGGCTGGGGGTAGAGAGAGACAAAGCGTAGGGGGTTGTGTGGAGTGGGACTGCAGAGAATCTGCCAAGGGAAGGTTTGGGCTACAGAATGGGTCCTGGGCAATTTTAGGGTTAGAAGAGAGACAGTTGCTAGGGGTGTATTTGTGGTGGGGCTGCAAAGGGCCTGCCTCAGGATGTTTAGGTCTGCAGAACAATTGCCCTCAAAGACTTCAATCAGGGCCATGTTTGGGTTTACCTGGGTTTAAGGCCCTGGGCACATTTAGGGTGCAGAGAGGACAGTTCCTAGGGGTCTAGCTGGAGTGGGGCTGCTGAGGGAAGGTCTGGGCTGCAGAAGGAATTCTGTAGGGACTTTTTTATCTGGGCCGCGTCTGGGGCTGTCTGCTGTTAAAGGTTTATGCACTTCTACCATTAAGGTTGGAAGAGAGACAAAGGCTAGGAATCTAGATGAAGTGGGGCTGCAGACAGGCTGGCAAAGGAAGGTGTGGGCTGCCAAACCAGTCTTCTCCTGACAACTTTTTCATCTGTGCTAGGGTTTGGGTTTTCTGGGTTTAAGGGCTACCTGGCCACTTTAAGGGTTAGGATTAGAACAGAGAAAAAGGTGATGGTGGTGCTGCAGAAGAGATACCAAGGGCAGGTTTGTGCATCACAAAGAATTGTCCCCTGAGAACTCTTCTATCTTGGCCGTACCTTGGGGTGTTTGGCTAAGGTCAGCCCACAGTTAAGATGAGGGTTAGGGTAAGGGATATGGTTTATAAATGTTAAAGTCCCAGTGTGAGTTGTTTGGGGCACGTGTTGATGAGGATTTCATATGGGAGGTATTGTGATGAAGGAAGAGTTCTCCCCTGTGAAGGAATTCAGTCCCAAGAGAGCTTAAACAGGATCAGCAGCAGAATAGATCTTTAGTTTCATGAGAATCCTACCAGTGCCCAGTTATGTAGGACTTTTGCTTTTGCTTTTCATCTGGAACTCAGCCCTCTTTATATGCTATTTGTTTGGAATCAAAACTTAACTTTCCAGTTTCTGCTTAAGCCAGAAACTTCATGCTTTAACTGTTAAAAGTCAGGGATACAACTCCTGATAGCTGGAGTTCCCCGCTTGGCCCATTCAAACGGCATTCTCCAGACCATTTGACCACTCTTGTCACCATAATCTATCCATTAACCAATAACATGTCATTCTTTGAGGCTTCTCACATTTCCCATGGGGCCTACAATTAATATAACCTAACACAATCAATATACCTGGTAGTCCGCAGGCATGAACGTTTTTTGTACAGTGAAAAGGAAAAAAAAAAAAAAATTTAGGAATGCATTGTCCCAATTAAAGTAACTTGTGTTCTGTGTTTTTCCTTGTCTCCTTTTCCTCCACTCCTTGGTACAAGGCACCCTGATATTTTGTGTTTGCCTTAATCTAGATACTAAATCTAACCATTTTTTTTTTGTCACAGACTGTTCACTCTTAAGGATTTTTCCCCCATGCCTTACCTGCATCCACTCGTCAAAATAGCTACACATTTCAGTGAGGCACCCAAAATAACCTGACATTTTACAAATTGCCAACAGTCTTCTGAGACAAATCTCTGTGCTTTGACGTGCTGAGAGCTGTTCTATTTTTTTCAATATGTATCTTCATACATTGTGACCCTGACTGTGATGTCAGAAAGTTAACAGGTTAGATTCTCTTCTGTGAGGAAAGACCTACAAAGCCTTACTTCTGGTTTTAGTTATTCAAGCAAAGAATCAGACTGCTGGTCAAGAGATAACAACCGTACAACAAGGAATTTGAGAACTAGCACTACAGATTCCACCAGATCCCCCAAAACAGAGCAGGATTAGGATCAGTCTTGTGTTTGTGCCTCCAAAGAGAAATATTTCTTTAGAATAAAAATGGTGTATTTATTGTAACAGTACAGTTTGTAAAACTAATTTATTGGAACAACAACAAAGAAACTGAATGACCAATGAAAGAAATTTATGATCTAGAATAGAAGCAGAGGCTGAATTCAGCCTCTAAAAACTACAAATGGTATTTAGTTCTGAAAGATAGAAAAGAAAGTGGTTTCCAGAAGTCATTAGCAAAGAGGTCTCTGATAAACTGGCTGCAATCTTTCTCATAGAATGGAAACAACTATGCAACTAGAGTTCCTGTTTGGTGCTATTTACAATTTTCTGATACTTCTAGAGCTGAAGTGCTTCAGGTATAGTTGAAGGTAAATAGTGCTGGAAAGCTTGGTCAAAGGTGCTCAATGTTCAATAGTTCAAGGAGAAAAAATGAATGAAAAAAACCTAGTCCTCCAAGGAAACCTTTGTCCAATCTTAAAAAGTCTATAGGCTCTTTTCTCTGTCTCTTGGCTCCAGAGAAGGCCTATGGGAAATGAGACAGGTGTATGTTTAGAATATGCTTTACTATAGCAAACAGCCTTATGAAAGAGCATTTGATACTACTGCTTTTAAAAGTGTTACCTGATTAAGAGCGATTAAAAACATGTACTCATGTACTCATCCTTTCCCTACTGGGAAATTACTTAACTTATTTGAAACATTTTTCAGTTTCAAAACCAGCTGTAATATATGGTCATTTATGATGTTATTAGTCTCCACAACCAGGTCTGAAACAATGACACTTGTATCAGTACAGTGCTTCATTTTAAGTATGCCATTTTCATATTTTGTAGTGAGACCAAACGTGGCAAGTATACTAAAATAAGGAATGTAACTCCAATGAAATAAATGGAGCTATAACAGCAATTAATATGGTGCAGGATCCACACTGAAGTCTGCAGCTTTTTAATCATGATACCCATATGATATGCTTTGCAGTTTGTTTAGAAATCAGGATGTTCTGGGACTGAAGCCAAACCAGAGACTTAGGTCTAAAATAAATTTTAGGTACCAGGCAAAAAGCAGCTTTCCTCAGGAAGACAATACAATATTTTAATAATAATACAAAGAACTTAAATTAGATGTACATTAAGAAACAATATTAAAAAGGCACAAATCAATTGCTGAAGGTTGGAAGGTGTCCATGTAAATATTCACTGCATTAAAAGCAAGATTCAAAAGATTAGCAAGTAAATACTGAAGGAAAAATTAATAATTTTCTTAATTAAACAAATGCAGTATTTTTTTCCCCACTGTGCAGCATCCTAGTTCTGATGTTCAACATTCAGCCAGGTTCAGTGATCTTCATGTGTGCCTTTATATGCTTTCTTTAGTGCTTTTTAAGTGAGAGATCAGTTGATGTATTTATTAAGCACAATGTGCTAATTTTATATGTCTCACATAATACACAGTACAGTATTTATGAGATGTAATTAGTGTATCATAGGCATTGATATGGAAATGTTAAGTAACGTTGCAAACATGTATGTTGTATCTATGAATTCCAACTTAAAATTATAAAATACAGATTTTATAAATCTATTGTGCTGATTTATAGCAAAATATGTATTTACAGGTATCTTTGTTTGGGATGATCTAAAAACATGTCTACATATGAATGATTCCTGTACCTTTTTCAGATGAGTTGTTTGTACTGCGCCATTTTGTATTACTGTTGAAAATACACTATTTGTTTTTGATGAGAATTAAGGCTGTTGTGATAAATGGCGTAATGCAGTGCACTGGCTAGATTAATGAGTATATTTGCTAGTAATTTCATTACTTCAGTGCTTTGTTTTGTAAATTTTCTAATTAAACTCCTTTAAATACAACTTTTTTAAAGGAAGGCCTGAGTTCTGGGTTTTCCGAAATTTTAATATTTTCTCTTTTGTGTGAACAAAGACAAGTTTTAAAATAAACAAACAGGGTCAAAAATTTTGATT